GAAATCCTATTCTCTTATAATAAGATGGAATTTTTAAAGTACCCTGGACCACACTCAACACTGGGATGTACATTTGTCTTTTTAAATTATATATCATGTGCTCAGTTTGTGGAACAACATAAACATATAACTTAAAGATGAAAATCAGATCCCTCCCTGTTTGGCAGATGCTCTCATAATGGTCACCCCAAAGCCTGGTCAAACTAATGAGCATGTCCCTTAGCCCTGTGGCCAAAAGACTCCAGGTTGTTTGGTTCCGCAAAGTGAAATGATTTGTAATGATGTGAATAATAGAAGAAAAATTTATGTGAATTAGGAGAGTTCACTGAGTGCCAGTATTTTTCTTATAGGCTTAATTTGGTTGGTTGTGACTGGTTTTGCTCCTGTGCCCAATGACCTCATGACAAATGCATTTTACAAATACAATTATGGGATACAATTTAGGAATACTATTTCAGAGTTCTCATCTCGCATAAGAGTAAACAAACCAAGTTTTTTTGTTTACCACCAGTAGGAACCACTGACTTCCTATCTAGCACAGTTACATACTGCTTTTCTTGTTAGCTGTAAGGAAGGCATAACTTTATAATTTGTAAAGTTGAAAGAGTAATAACATAATAGTTTTGGGCAGAGTCTTTCTTAGACTCCAGCGACTTTATTAGCGGGATTCAGTTCTCCAGGTTTGAAATACCAAGTATTTCAAATTTCAGAGGAAGACATCTATAGTAAAATCATTGCAGACTCTTAGCTCTCTCTCCATTAGACACAGTCTGTCCATGTACAACAAAGGGGAAGCACTGAATTATAGCAGCTCTTCTTGAATTTGCTAAAAGTGAATCTGAAGAAAATGAAACACTACCATTTATTAGTTGTTTCTAAGATTTCCTACATTGTGAAGAATACACAGAAATATAAGACATGGCTTTTGCTTGCAGTTTGCTTATAAATTCAAGAAATAATATTAAAACATTTGGGTGAATTAAAGAATAACACATGTCAGCATTCAGAGATCCATGGTAGACTATGAAAGGGTGGAGGAGGCCATTATGTTTAGTATAGACAATGTTTCATGGATTAGGTAAATTTTAAGCTGGACCTTGAAATATATAAGCTTTAGAAAAGGGAAGAGAAAAGAAGGAGTTTCTATTTGAGAAAATAGCACAAGTTGTAAATTTAGTTCTTTTCAAAAAGCATTAAGTATCTCTGTGCCAAGCTGTATGCTGGCTGCTGGAGATTACCGCATGTTCTGCACTCTGTTGCTGAAGTATTTTCACATATCCTCAACAGATCCCTTGAAGGAATTCCCGTGACAGAAGTCCCTTTTCCTTGGTGATATAGGAAGGGGCTGGCTGTTGTTTTCAAAATACTGGATAAGCTCTAGAAATAATTGGGAAAGCTTAACTTTGGTGCACACTCACCTTCCCCATCATCACTGACTTCCTATCTAGCATAGTTACAGATTCTCGCTTATCTGTGTTTGATACCAAAGGTTCAAGGCCACACAGTCATTCTCAAGGGGTGTGACTGACTCCAAAGTCTGTCTTCCTAATCACCAAGCTATGCTGCTTTTTAATACAGGGTTCTTGAACGTCACAAGGAAGGAATGCATAATTCAGTGGTTGAGACATTAGCATTACTACTTGTATACAGGGCACTTGCCAACAATCCCATTCCACCAACTAGTAAGGTTGGCAAGAGGCTAAGTACAATAGTGTGAGGAACAAAATCATTGTAGTGCCAAATACAGAGTATACCATCTCTTTAGTACAATGTCTGTGAAAAGGTGGCCGATTGTGTTGGCTCTGTTTGCTTCTGTCATTGTGGGAGAAATACTAGTGGAAGCTTATGATCCTACTATCAAAATGGAAACCTGGCAGGTGTCCTTGTTGGAAGACAACAAGATCTTTGCTAAAAGACCAGCCCTGGTTTTTCTCCTGAGATGTGACATTTGGGGGCATCCATTAAAAACATCACCAATATTTATTTTAATCTCTTCACTTTAATCTCTTCCTTAAGTGCCTGTGTTCTTTTCAGGGGCACAGGTTCAGGCATGGTCAGTACCTCCATGGTTTCCCCAGTGGGCAGAGGTGACTGACTGTGAGGGCCTGGGAGGGGATGAGGGAGGAAAAGGTCACTCCTCCTGACAACTTATAACTTGACTCCACTTACAAGCCATTTATTTTCAGAAATAAGTAATGGGTAAAGACATAGGCCAGGCCTCCAATTCTTGCATTTGAGAGTGTATGGCTTTCTTAGATCAAATTACCACAGCAAACAGAGACAGAGTTACTGTAGGAACATTTGGGAAGGAAGCAGACAGAGAGGGAGAAGCCAGAGACCTAAGAAAGGAGACAGGAATAGAATGTGATGGAAATTGCTTCCTACTCTGCACCCTTGAGGGAACAAAGAGGACAAATAAGATGCTGCAGTGATAGGAGGAAGCTGGGAGCTTCTCTGAAATAAAATTGGTGAGGTTGTGGAGTGTTGTCAGCGAGTGCACTTGGTGGGTAGAAGGAAGAGATGGGCCAATCCAGGCCCTTGAAATTTGGGTGCCAGGATCATTGCCTTGACCCCTCAAACTATCCCTGCAAAGAGAGAAGTGTGCCAAATGTCAGGGCTCACTCTGGTTTTGTTCTGGTCCATAGATAGAAAATGACCCACAGAAGATGATCTAGGAGTGAGAGGATGCTGGGAGATGAGGAGGAGAGAGGATGTTTTAGTGAGTGCTTTTTGCACGTGGGGCAATGGATTTTAAACTCCTGTGGAAGAGATGAGAGGGCCTGGGAAGACTGGATGTTCAGAACAGAGAAGCAGAGGCCGTGACACAGCACAGGAAGGCTTCCTCTGATCTTCTGCCTTCTCGTTCACTAAAGACACCTGGTTGTCTTTTTGTTGTTTCTGCAGCAATGCGAGGGGGAGTCTTAAGGGAACAGAGGCCCAGGTGTGTAAAGGAGCCTTATATTTATGGAAGGTGAGCTGCACCCACTGAAACTGCCGGCTATTTTAAGATAAATCCCAGTCTCCCTACATTTTACCTAATAACAGCAGAGTTTTCACAGCAAAGCTTTAATGGAGTCCAAATTCCAGCCAGGCTTGGGAGATCA